AGCAAGACTGTCTCAAAAAAATAAAAATAAAATAAAATACCAATTTGAATAAATTATGATGGTGGAGGGAAGGACTGGGGGAACAGACTGAACAATGGCAGGGGACTGGGAGCCCCACATCATCACCTGCGAGGATGTTCCTCCACCTCCGCGCTGCGGGTGTTCTGGGCCAGGCACCTCTGTAGTGTGGGGGCTTTGCAGTGCACTCTTGGAGGTAGCACACCCCTGATTTATCCTCACTAATGCCAGTTAGCTACCCACCCCCCACCCCAGAATGACAACCAAAAACTGCTACAGACATTGCCCGCTGTCCCCTGGATGGGGGTCCAAAATCACCTCCAGCTGAGTGCCACTGTCCTAGGTAAATGGAATTTTCAGGAAGCCCTAGAGCCACTCATTTATCAACGGGAGCCTGGCTTCTCGCCCTTTCTCTTATTGTTGGATGACCTCGTGAAGAGGAGACAACCCCACTTGAGACTGCCACAGGAAGGAAGAAGGGAAGCAAAGTCCTCCATAATCCACAGTGCCTGTCACCGAGGGCTCCTTGATAAGAATTTCTCAAGGTAGGAATGTGCAGCTCAACAGCTGGCCAGACTTCCTAGTTCAGAAGTGCAATCTCAGGTTGGGAAGTTTATTATTACAGCCAGCAACAATGAGGACATTTCACAGGGCTGGGCTGCAGAGGAGAGAGGAGAGACTAAGCTGATGACAATCACCAACCAGTTTGATGACTTTGAAAACAGTCACTTCCTCTTTCTGGGCTACAGTCTTCTCATCAGTAACTGAAGGGCCTGCAGTACCTTCAACATTCCTTCAGGTGAGGACTTCTCTTTGATCCCTGCTGTGGTTTCAATGTTTCTGCCAAAGTTCATGTGTTGGAAACTTAAAACCAGTGCAAAAGCGTTGGGAGGGGAGGCCTAATGAGAAGTGATTAGGCCATGAGTATTCTGACCGCATGGATAGATTAATGTCATTATCATGGGAGTGGTTTGTTAAAATCAGTTCAGCCCCTTCTTTCTCTTTCTTCTGCCCGCACTATGGGATGCACAGTCCAGAAGGTCTCACCAGATGCTGGCACCATGCTTTCGGACTTCCTAGACTCCAGAACCATGAGCCAAATAAATTTCTGTTTATTTTTATTTTATTTTATTTTATTTTTTTGAGACGGAGTTTTGCTCTTGTTACCCAGGCTGGAGTGCAATGGCGCGATCTCGGCTCACCGCAACCTCCGCCTCCTGGGTTCAGGCAATTCTCCTGCCTCAGCCTCCTGAGTAGCTGGGATTACAATTTCTGTTTATTATAAATTACCTAGTCTGTGGCATCCTGTTAGAGCAGCATAAAATGGACTAAGATAATCCCTATAAAGAGTGGCAAAAGGCTGGGTGTGGTGGCTCATGCCTGTAATCCCAGCACTTTGGGAGGCTGAGGCAGGCGGATTACAAGGTCAAGAGTTCGAGACCAGCCTGGCAAATATGGTGAAACTCCAGTCTCTACTAGAAAAAAAAAAAAAAAAAAAAATTAGCTGGGCGTGGTGGTGGGCGCCTGTAGTCTCAGCTACTCAGAAGCCTGAGGCAGGAGAATCGCTTGAACCTGGGAGGCAGAGGTTGCAGTGAGCCGAGATTGTGCCACTGCACTCCAGCCTGGGTGAAAAAGCAAAACTCCGACTAAAAAAAAGGCGGGGGAGCAGCAAAAGAATAGTTGCCAGCTCGCTAGCAGAATCCTATGATCAACTAGTAATGTCTACCAGAGATGGAGGATGCGTGACACCAACATGTATGGTGTGTTTGCTGAGCGTTCTACAGGAGCCAGCCAGAATCTCCGGATCTGTGTGAGGACCAAGAGCTGGGGACAGAAGCAGCGCTCTAGAGGGGAACGATCCATTCAGATTCCTTGTTTTGTTTTGTTTTGCTTTTAAAGAGCTGCTCTGTGAGAGGACAGGGAGAAAATGGACCCTACAGGTCATGGATACTCAGCTCACCTCAGTCTCAGGGAGGCACTCCAGCATTTATTCATCCAAGAAAGAGAATGACATCCAGGTGAAAGGAGAACCCCAGAATACCCACCTACTTTTAAAATTCTCCCCTGTGCATATTTGGGAACCAATAAGAGGACTTGTAATGCTCTGTGAGTAGAAAGGGAAGGGGAATAGGAAAGAAAAAAGTGAAGCTTGGAATGGTGGAAAGTGCATGGGCTCTGCCATTTACCAGCTGCGTGATCTTGGGCAAGTAACTCAACCTCTCCGAGCTTTGGTTTCCTCTTTGGTGAAATGAGGACTAATAATCCATTTCTCCCTCAGTACAGACAGCTAGCATGCAGTGAGCACTCAGCGATGGCCAAGTATGGGAGAAGCCAGGGTGGAAGGAACACACGGAACCATTTTGTACAGGGTCGCAGGCAGGCTCAAGACTTGGTACTTAGTTTAACAGGCAATGAGGAGCCACTGACAACTTTTTAAAAAATTAACATAAATGGGAACCACTCAGACTGTGTCCTCTTCCTCTTCCCCTTCCAGAGGAAGAGAAGAACTATCTTCAATGGCATATGGCAGTTGCTAAATTGCCATGAAGCAATACCTAAAGCCACCTCATGCTCAGGAGAGAATGCTCACCTCCTCCTCGTGGTTCCCAGTGCTCTACACGTTCAGAGAAACTTCTCTAGTAATGAACTCGGGAACCGGTCACTGAGACTATAGTCTCTATGGACAGCTTTGGAGCCATGGAGTGAAGCCAAGCAAATCCATGGACCACTGCCCCACTGCCAGGTCTATCTCAATAGACTGGGGGCAGGACTTGGTGATGCAGAATCAGAGAATGGCCTGAGGAGGACACAGACCAGACCGGAGAGGAGGATGTGGGAAAAGGGCTACATCAATCTCCAGAAGCAAGAGTTGGCAAAAGGCAGAAGGGAGAGGCCATAGAGCCAAAGAGGCAGTGGGAGAGAGGGTTTGTTGGGTTTGCCCTCTTCGACCCTCCAGGGATTGCAGGGAGGAGAGAAAATGGAATAATAAGAGGATTGCCCAGGATTGTGAATTGGATTCCTTCGACATTCCTCAAAAAGAGAGAGAGAGAGAGAGAGAAGATTCCTTTTATTTTATTTCATTTTTGAGACAGAGTTTCACTCTGTTGCCCAGGCTGGAGTGCAGTGGTCCGATCTTGGCTCACTGTAGCCTCTGCCTCCCAGATTCAGCCTCTGTCTCCCCAGTTCAAGCAATTCTCCTGCCTGAGCCTCTCGAGTAGCTGGGACTACAGGCATATATCACCAGGCTCAGTTAATTTTTGTATTTTTAGTAGAGACAGTGTTTCACCATGTTGGCCAGGCTGGTCTCGAACTCCTGACCTCAAGTGATCCACCTGCCTTAGCCTCCCAAATGCTGGGATTACAGGCGTGAACCACTGCACTTGGCCATGCCGCACTTAAAAAAAATACTGTGGCACTGCTGGGCTGAGCCACAAGGACCACAGCTTCAGTAGGGTTACAGGTGCTCATAGCTGCTTTTCTCCAAAGAATGGCTATGCCACTAAGAGACATCAGGTTCTTATCAGATCCTGGCTCTTTGAAGACCACACAATCCTGATTTCTTGGTGTCATCCCTGAGCAGATAGCATCAGGGCCTTGCTTTCATTTCTTCACTCCTCACCACTCCCCAGCACTCTCTGCCATAGCACCTGACACTGCCTGAAGGCTTTCTCTGGCTTCAGGGCTGTGCTAGGTGAACTGGCCCTGGGAACAGCCCTCAGCCAACGATAACTAGGGCTCCTTAGATAAACTCGGCAGCTTTCTCACCCTTTGGGCAGAAAAACCTTGAGATGCATTTGGCACCATCGCCCAGAGGTTCCCACAGGCTGGAACCCCCCTGATGTCCCCACAGATGTCCATGAACCCAGATGTCCACAACAGTGACCTGCTCATCAACTTTGCCTGGCCTGGCTTCCTTCCCTTCCCGTCTCTCTTCCCCACTCCTCTCTCGGTGCTTCTAGGAATGACGTTCGGATTAACCACTTGTACTCAAATTCCAATCTCAGAGCCTGTTTCCAGCAGAGCCCAACCAAAGAGAGTCAGGGTTCTAGGCATTCCACCCTGTTGTCCAGCCGCACTCTAATCAGGAAAGAACACATGGCCACGCCCCTTGGAATTTGTAGATTTCAAACCCATGTGCTGCTCCTCCCACTCCAGCGACAAGACCCACCGGTGCCGTGGGCTTGTGGGCCAAACACAGGCTCAGCTCCTTCTCCAGATGGTGTTCCAAGCAGCCGCTTCCAGTGAAGCAGCATTGGCCTGAGAACTAGAACCTCTTTGTGGTCTCTGCAAACAAGACAATGACAAATACATGAGAGGGGATGGGAAAGAGGAGCTCCTTTATAGGGCAGGGAGGGGCGGGCACTTGGGTGTGACCAAGGAAAGGAAGTGTGCCTGGTTCACAGCTCTCCCTGGCCCGTGTCCAGCTCCCCTGCTCTCACAGGGGGAGTGGGGCATCTCAGGGATGGCCTCTTTCCCCCACAGGGGAAAGAGCGTTCGTTGTCTTTGAAACAGCGTGGGAACCGAGGTGTCCAGGAGGGGAGCAGAGGCAGGCAGGCTTCCTTTGGGCCCATCCTGCAGCTGGCAGGGAGGCTCCCTGCCTGGTAACGAAGGCCTGAGGGTGAGTTGTGAAACCCAGCAGGAAAGCCGGCTCACCTTCGCCTCCCCTTGCAGCTGGGAGGAGAGGAAATATCCCTGGCTGACTGTGCCAAGGCCCTGTCTGAGCCAGCCCTCCAGGCCCGAGGGCAGGGCAGGTAGCCCTGAGAGATAAGCCAATCCCGCTGCTGCAGATGAGGAGCTCTGAGAAGCGCTGCTTGGGACAGCGGGAAGTCACTTCTCAGAGGTGCCCTGCACACTGGGCCTGGGAGCAGGCAGCCTCCTGGGGGTGTGGGAGCCTCACTCCTCCAGGGTGGGGTCCACTGGCTTCCCACATCTGCAGGAGCTGACGTGCCAGCTTCCCCCAGTACCACCCCGGGACGGGCAGCATGAGCCGGTCGAGGCACCTGGGCAAAATCCGGAAGCGTCTGGAAGACGTCAAGAGCCAGTGGGTCCGGCCAGCCAGGGCTGACTTCAGTGACAATGAGAGCGCCCGGCTGGCCACAGACGCCCTCTTGGATGGGGGTCCTGAAGCCTACTGTCGAGCGCTCAGCCAGGAAGGTGAGGTGGACTTCCTGTCCTCAGTGGAGGCCCAGTACATCCAGGCCCAGGCCAGGGAGCCCCCCTGCCCCCCAGAACCTCTGGGAGGGGCCGAGCCAGGCCCTAAGGCACTGGACTCCAGCTCCCTGCAGTCAGGCACCTACTTCCCTGTGGCCTCGGAGGGCAGCGAGCCCGCCCTACTGCACAGCTGGGCCTCGGCCGAGAAGCCCTACCTGAAGGAAAAATCCAGCGCCACTGTGTACTTCCAGACCGACAAGCACAACAACATCAGAGACCTCGTCCGCCACTGCATCACCCGGACCAACCAGGTACCGATGCCAGAGCCCCTGTCTCCTTGGCCAAGTAGCGGGAGGATGGGGAACAGATAGAGCAGGGAGGGGTGCATTTTTCTCCCAGGGACAGAGTCCAGATAACTGGGGCTTCGAATGTAGGGGCATTGCTGTGGGCCCTGCTGTCAACCTTGCCCTGGACCACTGACCTCCTGATCCCACCTGTCACAACCAGGGTCCAGGCAACCACCTATCATCACCTATCACCACCTGTCACCACCTGTCACCACTTATCACCACCTACCACCACCTGTGACCACCTGTCACCACCTATCACCACCTGTGACCACCTGTCACCACCTATCACCACCTGTCACCACCTATCACCACCTATCACCACCTGTCACCACCTATCGGCACCTATCACCACCTGTGACCACCTATCACCACCTGTCACCACTTATCACCACCTATCACCACCTATCACCACCTGTGACCACCTATCACCACCTGTCACCACCTGTCACCACCTATCACCACCTATCACCACCTGTCACCACTGTCACCACCTATCACCACCTGTCACTACCTGTCACCACCTATCACCACCTGTCACCACCTATCACCACCTACCACCACCTGTCACCACCTGTTGCCAACTATCACCACCTATAATCACCACCTGTCACCACTTATCACCACCTATCACGACCTGTGACCACCTATCACCACCTATCACCACCTGTCACCACCTATCACCACCTGTCACCACCTATGACCACCTACCACCACCTGTCACCACCTGCCACTATCACCACCTATCACCATCTATAATCACCACCTGTCACCACCTATCACCACTTATCACCATCTATCACCACCTGTCACCATCTGTCACCACCTATCACCACCTGTCACCACCTAGCACCACCTGTCACCACCTATCATCCCTTATCACCACCTATCACCACCTATCACTACCTATCATCACCACCTATCACCACCTATCATCACCATGTATCACCACCTATCACCAGAACTCCCACAATTGCTTCATGCCTGGTCCCCTCTTCCATTTTGATCCCCAGCTTCACAGGCTCCATACTGCAGTAGAGCAGCTTTTTCTTTCTTGTGTGTGTGTGTGTGTGTGTGTGTGTGTGTGTGTGAGACAGAGACACACACACAGAGAGAGAGAGAGAGAGAGAGAGACGGAGTCTTGCTCTCTGGCCCCAGCTGTAGTGCAGTGGCATGATCTCAGCTAATCATAACATCTGCCTCCCGGGTTCAAGCGATTCTCCTGTCTCAGCCTCCTGAGTAGCTGGGACTACAGGCGTGCACCACCACGCTCAGGTGATTTTTGTATTTTTAGTAGAGATGAGGTTTCACCATGTTGGCCAGGCTGGTCTTGAACTCCTGATCTCAGGTGATCTGCCTCTCTCAACCTCCCAAAGTGTTGGGATTACAGGCGTGAGCCACAGTGCCCTGCTAGAGTGACTTTTTCTATACTACAAATCTAATTTGCTCCCTTCCCTGCTTAGAGCCTTCAGTAGCTCCCAGTTGCCCATAATGGGAAGTGCAAACTCCTTAGTGTGGCTCTCGCCCGATTCCACTCTACTCCACATGCCCTGCGGAGCTTGTCTTTGGGTGTTTGGATGTCCTGTTCTCTCTGCCTGGCCCCGCTTGCCTTCCCTGCTTTTCATTTGCCACACCTGCTCCTGCTCCAGGACCAGCATGAAAGCCTCTTCCCCAGGAAGCCTTTCCTGAATTCCCCAGGCTGTGTTTGCGCTTCCAAATGTAAGGGCTCCCCTCTGCTGGGCTCACCCTTGCCCCTTTTCCTCTCAGATTCTGCTAAGACCTGTCTGCCCACAAATGACCTTGTGGCTCTTGAATCTAGCCAGTGACCGGGCAGAAGATAGGATAGGCAGTAGAGGGGGTTTCTCTCTCCACAGAACATTTGAACTTTGATAAGTGTCTTTAGAAAAGAAAAAGCTTTCACTCAACATGCTTAAAAAGAAAGAAAGAAAAATAGAAGAGAAAAAAACGCTTCAAGCCCAGAGCTTGGCTGGTAGGATTTCAGGCACTGTAAGAGCTGGATCAGGAGTTCTCCCCATGCCCCGGGACCTCCAGCCTCAAGTGATGTCCTGAGCTGTGAGTGCCCACCCCTCGTTCCTGATGCTGCAGACAAGCAGGGGAGAGTGGACCACAAAGAAAGACATTCATCATCTGTGAAACCCTCTCTGTCTCGCTCTCTCCCTCTCTCGTATTCAAATTATTTATTTCATTACATTTAGAAGAACTCATAAAAGACCATGTTGATATTTGGATTGGTTTTTTGCTAAGGTTGCAACCTCCTAAATGAATTCCCTCCCAAATTCAATGCTGTGCGAAATCTTAAAGTTCCAGAAAAAGCCATCAAGGGTGAAGAGGCCATGCATGGAGCGGGAGGGAGGGAGCAGAGTTCTGGAAAATTAACTGGAAGGTAGCAATAGGTGGAGCATCGGCTTTGAGGCTTTGAGTATGGCTGAACGGCTGGGCTGCTTCCCAGCAGTGTTTTGTGTTTCTGTGGCAGGGCGGAATTTGAGGGTGCGTCCAGGCAGGCGATCAGGAGCGCCTACGCTGCCTTGGGCTGGGTGCTGGCTGCACCCCCTTGGGCAAGTCCCTAGACTCCTTACGGCTCAGCTCCAAGGTGGACTAAGGTCCCTCCAGGCTCCAAGGCCTGTTCCTGAGTGTGCCACTTCTGGTCTTTCTGCATGAAGTTCAGTGTTCTCCCGAGAGGTGGGAACCAATGCTGTTGGAGAAATTGGCAATTGCAGCTGCTCAAAGGGTGACAGAGGCTCCCTGGAGGAAGCCAGGTTAGAGCTTGTAAAACGCAGTCCCCTGGCTGAGGCCCTCTCCTCCCTACTCCACACCCAGTGAGGCTCCTGCATCCATCTCTAGGACCCTGAGGCCCACTAGTGTCCTTTTGACCAACATAGCACATTATGAACTTAGAACAACACTTAAAAAATCTGAAGAGTTGGCTAGGTGCGGTGGCTCATGCCTGTAATCCCAGCACTTTGCGAGGCTGAGGTGAGTTCAAGAGTTCGAGACCAGCCTGGCCAACATGGTGAAAACCCATCTCTACTACAAATACAAAAAAAATAGCCAGGCATGGTGGCGGGTGCCTGTAATCCCAGCTACTCAGGAGGCTGGGGGAGGAGAATTGCTAGAACCCTGGGGGCAGAGGTTGCAGTAAGCCCAGATCGCACCACTGCACTCCAACCTGCACAACAGAGCATGACTCCATCTCAAAAAAAAAAAATCTGAAGATTTCACCTGAAAGTAAGAACTTCCAGCTCCTCTTAGCAGGTGGGGTCTGCTTGCGGGGAGTTGTAGCTGCTTCGTTGGGTGGATCCCCTATGCGACAGTCCCCACCATTGCTTGTTGTCCTGGGACCCTCAGGGCTTTACCCATTTGGGTGTCTGCCAGGCACCCAACAGTAACAAATTGGTTATTAATTATGTTATACAGGGATTCTATTATTAATAAAGAACTATTTCAAAAAATTTTTCAGTTTTAGTTTCTAATAGGGAAAACATCAATAGCTATAATCCACATGAATAAAAGCTCTTTGAGATCACCAATAATTTTCAAGAGTGGAAGGCAGGGTTTGTGACGTCCTTGCCACACACACATGCACACATACACATAAACAAATGCACATACGCACATCCCTACATGCGAGGGCCCAGGGACAGCCAGCTCCCACAGACAGCCAGGGAGCTGGAGCCTCAGCCCAGGCTGTCTGTGGATGCAGGTGGCAAAAAGAGGAAGATAGAGTGAGGAAATAGATTTGAATTCTCCCTGTCCTAAGCCTCAGCATCCTGAGACGAGCCAGAAGGGAACAAACAGAGATCCAGCCGAGAGGTACTTCCTGGAGCAGTTTCCACTCTAGAAGAAGCAGGAATTCTCCTTCCTTCCTTTATTCCAGGCTGGGCACAGTGGCTCTCACCCATAATTTCAGAACTTTGGGAGGCCGAGGCAGGTGGATCACCTGAGGTCAATAGTTCGAGACCAGCCTGGCCAATGTGGTGAAAGCCTGACTCTACTAAAAATACAAAAAGGAGCCAGGTGTGCTGGCAGGTGTCTGTAATCCTGACTAACTGGGGGACTGAGTCAGGAGAATTGCTTGAACCTGAGAGGTGGAGGTTGCAGTAAGCCGAGATGGTGCCACTGCTCTCCAGCCTGGGCAACAGAGCAAGACTACTCTGTCTCAAAAAAGAAACCCTTCTCTTATTCTGCAAAGCCTAACGTGCCGGCCAGCCCCATGCCCAGGACAGCAGAGTGGACCTCTAGGGAGCTTCCTGCCAACTGCCTGCTCCTTAGGGGAGAGGAGAAAGAATTAGACAGTGCAGTCCCAGGCTTGGGCAACTCGGTGCCTCGAAGTGAAGGGAGGGCCTAGAGCAGCCTTCACGGGAGAGGTGGTCTCCAAGTTGAGTCTCAAAGGCTGAGTAAGCATTTGCTGGCAGAGAAAGAAGGGAAAGCAATTCATCTTTTCAGTAGAGATGGGGGTTTCACTATACCACCCAGGCTGGTTTTGAACTCCTGGCCTTAAGCAATCAATACACCAGCCTCAGCCTCCAATGTGCTGGGACTGCAGGAGTGAACCACCATGCCCAGCCTTCAACCCACTATACCTTCTAAGGAAGAATAGTGCTCCAAACCAGTAACTGTCTTCGGATTAATCCAGCTGGAGGACAACCACAACCAGAGGCAAACAAGGTAAACCTAGACAGGTGAGCCTGTATTTCCAAGCATCCTTTAATTCAGGATGCTGGGTTATTTCCAAACGTGCCCCTGTCTCTGTTCAACCACCAGCTCACCAGCCTATCTCGGGAAAAATGATGATACACTGGCACAGAACTGAAGTACTTACTGACCGATTGGGAAGGGAGGGAGGGAATTGTTTCTTTTGTCAATACCTTGGAAGAGGAGGCAAATACCTTTCAGCAGACAGGAAGCCTAAGCTGCTTTCAGTGCTGTAAGGTTAAATGTGTGCAAGACAACTAATTGTGTGATTATAGGGCCGTGGTTCTAATGATCACTAGCCTCATTATTAGAACATCTTTTCTGGTTTCCTGCTCAGGGTGGGCAGTTTCTGAGGATTTCCCCCCTTGTCCAGCTATCTATCCACATCACAGAAAGTTGGTTTCCAAGTGGATACCAGCCATCAGTTTGGCCTGTCAGTGAGAGGTCTCTCTTTCCTTGCTACTTCACAGATGGTGGTGGTTTAAAAAAATATATTGTGCTGGGCGTGGTGTAATCCCAGCACTTTGGGAGGCCAATGAGGGTGTATCACCTGAGGTCAGGAGTTCAAGACCAGCCTGACCAACATGGAGAAACCCTGTTCCTACTAAAAATACAAAATTAGCCGGGCATGGTGGCACATACCTGTAATCCCACCTACTTAGGAGCCTGAGGCAGGAGAATCGCCTGAAATACGGGAGGCAGAGGTTACGGTGAGCCAAGATCACACCATTGTACTCCAGCCTAGGCAACAAGAGCAAAACTCCATCTCCAAAATATATATATATATAGGTGAGATATATATATATATATATATATATATATATTATTAGAAAGATAGTGGGACATTATTATTACAGGTAGTCTTGAAGAAAGAGAATGGCCATATTCCCTGTGAAAGAAAAATATCTTGGGTTCCCAAAATCACTAAGAAAACTGAAGCTGGAAACTCTCATTCTATTCAATGTCACTCCTCTGCTCACTGATATAGGCGTATATCGGAAGGAAGGAAGGAAGGAAGGAAGAAAGGAAGGAAGGAAGGGACGGAGGGAGGGAAGAAAGGAAAAGATAATTATGGAGGATATACGGAACCCTAATATGCACTTGACATTGACATTGAGATGAAATAGAAGAAATTATTAGTATTCAGTAATGGTGCTTGGACATTTGGTTTTCCATGTGAAAAAAATATATAAATAAAAATATATGTATCATCTAGGTTTGTGTAAATATACTCTACAATGTTCACACAATGAAGAAGTCACCTAATGATGGATTTCTCTGACTGCATCCCCACCATTGCCACTGACGGTATCTGCATTCACTCACTGGCAATCATAGTGGACACACTATCACTTGGTGGTGTTTTCTTTCTTCACTTAATTCATTGTTAATACACATTTGTTGAGACTATACAGCAGGTTTAACTTCAGGCTATAAACATTTCACCTTATCTTACCGCTTCTGCGTAATCATTGTAATCAACATTTTTTATTTTTATTTATTTACTTATTTATTTATTTTGAGATAGAGTCTCACTCTGTTGCCCAGGCTGGAGTGCAGTGGCACAATCTCAGCTCATGGCAACCTCCACCTCCTGGGTTCAAGCGATTCTCCTGCCTCAGCCTCCTCAGCAGCTGGGACTACAGGTGTGTGCTACCAGCCTGGCTCATTTATTTTTATTTTTTTATTTTTAGTAGAGACGGGGTTTCACCATGTCCGTCAGGCTGATCTCGAATTCCAGACCTCAAACGATCTGCCTGCCTCGGCCTCCCAAAGTGCTGGGACTACAGGTGTGAGCCACTGAGCCCAACAGTAATCAATGTTTTTAATGACTTAATAAACCTAATAAGCTGCTTGTCAACATACCACAATTAAGGTATTAGAAAGGACTCATGATTGGGTGACAGAGAGTAAACCCAAACAAGGTGAAGAAGAGAAACATTCATTGACATCCACAGTGTAAAAGTCAAGGGCAGCACTGGCCTCCAGCATGGCTGGAACAGGTGTCCAAATGACACCGCTGGGATTCTGTCTCTACCTCCTGGCTGCTTTCTCCAGGGCTGGCTTCATTGTCAGGCGGGCTCACCCCAACAGGTAGCAAAATGGCTGCCAACAGCCATGGCTTATAAACTACCAGCTAAGCAACCTTGTCGAAAGAGCCCCTCCTTTTCCCTGGAGTTGCAGCTGAAGTCCTGGGCTGACTCTCATTAGAATAACTTAGATCACGTGACCACCTCTGGACCAACCTCTGTGGCCAGCAGAGGATGCAATGCTCCCATTGGTCTAGCCCTGGTCATGTGCTCTCCCCATGTCCAATCAGGAGATGGCAGTAGACCCATCGAAACCACATTAATTGTGAAGGACAGGCAATTCCTTAAAGTTAGATTGGGATGCTGTTGGCAGAAGAAGAGGGAATGAATGCTTGGCAGGGGGAACACAGGTATCTCTCCTGCTCGCTGGATGTCTAGGACTCCCCTCCCCAGTTTCTACTACGCCAGATGATGCAGTAGCTGTGGGTAGAGCATGACTCCCTTCCCCATCCCACAGGGGGAAGCTTGTTCTAGTCGTTTATATATGGGGCCTCACATGGGGCCTCACATGGGATTCCACAGCTTAATGACATTTGAAAATCAGTGGCCATAGCGTGCCCTCTAGCTCCAAGTGGCGGCGAATCCATAACCTTAACTTTCTGCCCTCTGTAACCTGCTGAGGTGCTGCTTGTTCTCTGCTCTCCGCTTTCTAGCCTTTTCCCTTCCTCCTCTGCCCTCCCCAGTCCCACAATGGGCATAGGGGCCAAGCGATCCGTGGTGGGGCTGGAGGGTTGGGATCGGGACGGGGGCAGCGGCCTCCACTCCAGCACTTCGCTTCCCTTCCTTTAATCCTGCCCAGTCAGACCCACTCCCCCCCATCCTCTCCCATCTGGTCCAATGGGAACAGGTCTCCCAGGCCCACTGGGACTCAGGCAGTTTGGCTAAAACTAGTTAGCACCTGGACCTGACTTTTCTGATAACTGAGCCCTCTGCCCTGGCCCAGGTACTGGTCATCCTGATGGATGTGTTCACGGATGTGGAGATCTTCTGTGACATTCTAGAGGCAGCCAACAAGCGTGGGGTGTTCGTTTGTGTGCTCCTGGACCAGGGAGGTGTGAAGCTCTTCCAGGAGATGTGTGACAAAGTCCAGATCTCTGACAGTCACCTCAAGGTAGGGGCCCCAATGAGATATTAGTCCAAATAGGATAGTCTATGCAGTAGTCACGAATGTCCCCCATCTTGTGTTAATAGCTTAACACAATAAAGCTTCATTTCTTGCTCAAACTCCTCTGTAGGTCGGATGGGCGTCCTCCATCTTGTAGCTACATCATGAGAAATACATGGCTTCCAAGATAGCCGTGACAGGGAAAGAGAAGGCTGGAGGACTGTGCAGGGTGTTTCCAGGATCTGACCTGGAAGAGACTTTCATCGCTTTCTCTTATAACTCATTACCTCACCCAGCTGCATGGGTGACGGGAGATGAAAAGTGTCAGGGGTATCTGGTGCACAGCATCTCTGCCATCTGCTCCTGTTCTCTCAGCCGGAGAAGCCCAAGGAATGCATCTCACAGGGAGGCAACCTCCAGGGCCTGTGGGTACATGTTCAAAACTCGCTGGCCCCAGCAAGACATTGATCCTCTTGGACTTTACTGAACCCCCTACTTCCCTCTCCCAGCAAAGAGAAGAGAAACCCAGAGATAAGGGTTTGATTCGTCACACAAATTTGAGGACAACTTATTCAAAGTCAAATGTGAAAACCACCCGTAGCTTTCATGAGTAGGTCCGGCTGAACAGCTGATGGGTGGCCCTCAGAGTTCTTTTGATCAGTTTCCTCTAGTTCAAGCAAGAGAGGTTCTTTCCTCTGGAAGAACCTCCCAGATAAGAATGAAGCCTCCTCCCTCCCTCCCTTCTCTGCACGGATGCAGCTGAGTTCAGGGCTGCCTCCTGCTGCCTCAGGCCTTGGGACCTCTGACTGCTGGGTCTGCTGGGCATGACATGGATCACACCTCCTTGGCCATTGAAACCAGGTCAAGAGTGTCAGAGCTAGCCTTGCTTTCATGGACCTGTGCTGGCCACACCTGACAGTCCTCTGCTCATCATAGGGTGATGGGATATGTCCCTCCTCTCAAGATGTCACAGAGCTATGGAGAAGCCTCGGGGAAGCAGCTGGAGTCAGTACCGCCGTCTCCAGAGTCTGCCAAGCTACCAGCAGTCCCTCGTGGGATCCAGGCAGTACTCCACCTCCCTCAGCCTTAATCTTGAGACTCCCATACTTTACCTCCCCTTCCATTTCTCCAGCCTTCCAGCCCTAGGGCAGCAGCACAGGTGCTACAGGGAAGGCAAGGGGCAAATAGAGCTATGGTAGGGATGTGGACATACCCTTGCTTAAGACAATACAGGGTCTATTGCGACCTCCACAAAGCCACCTCCTCTGGCTGCACCAGGCCTTCCCTCTGATCAGCTTGGGGTCAGGGACTCAGGTCACTAAAGCCACTTACAAGGCGGGGCTGGGCTTGCCTCCAACTGACTGCCAGGCCTCTTGTGGCTCATGGGGGCCCAGACTAAGGGCTCCGTAGGCATCAGGCCCTTGCCTTGCTTTTATTTGCTGCCTTATTTGAATTCTACCCACTTCCCTTTTTCTTTTTGTTGCCAGCTAATGCGAAGACAATGAAGACAATTTAGACAATTCAGCCCAAGGAAAAAATTAACATGGCCCAGAATCCCACCAACCAGAGATAACACATCTCCATTTTAGTGAGGCTTCTACCAGCCATTTTCCTACACAAATTGTCTTGGTCCATCACAGCTGCTGTAACAGAATTCCATAGACTGGTGGCTTATAACAATAGAAATGTATTCCTCATGATTCTGGAGGCTGGGAACTCCAAGATCAAGGTGCTGGCAGATTAGCCGTCTGGTAAAGGTCACTTCCTGGCTTATAAATGGCTGTCTTCTTGCTGTGTCCTCACGTGGCAGAAGGGATGAGGCAGCTCTCTAGGCCTCCTTTATAAGGCCCTCATCTGCTGGGGGCAGTGGCTTACACCTGTAATCCTAGCACTTTGGGAGGCTGAGGCAGGCAGATCACAAGGTCAGGAGATCAAGACCATACTGGCTAACACCGTGAAATCCTGCCTCTACTAAAAATACAAAAAATTAGCTGGACGTGGTGGCATGCACCTGTAGTCCCAGCTACTCAGGAGGCTAAGGCAGAAGACTAACTTAAACCTGGGAGGCAGAGGTTGCAGTAAGCCGAGATTGGGCCCCTGCACTCCAGCTTAGGTAACAGAACGAGACTCTGTCTCAGAATAAATAAATAAATAAATAAATAATAAGGCACTCATCCTATTCATGAGAACTCCACCTTCATGACCTAATCTCCCAAAGGCCCCACCTTCTGATACCATCACCCTGGGGATTAGGTTTCAACATAGAACGGGGTTAAGGGGAACACACACATCCAGCCTCATGCCCAAATGTATCTCTATAAACAGAATTAGGGAGTGACACCTCGACTTTCCCTCCGACAGAACATTTCCATCCGAAGTGTGGAAGGAGAGGTGTACTGTGCCAAGTCAGGCAGGAAATTCGCTGGCCAAATCCGGGAGAAGTTCATCATCTCAGACTGGAGGTTCGTCCTGTCTGGATCTTACAGGTGAGCCCTAGATTCATCTCGGGTCAACGATTCGTGGAGGACAAGGGCAGAGTGAGGTGCAGACCAGCTTCTGTTGCTCACACACACACACCACCGCAGCTCCCAGGACGTCTCCCTCTGCCCGGAGCTGGCGCTGCTTCATATAAATGGGGTGAGAGGCAGGAAATCTGGGCCTGGTGAGAATTCAGGTAGAGAGGCATTTCCAGATGCCTCAGTTTCCCTTAATACTTGCAATAGGACATAGAATCCTCTTTTCCCTCCTCAGATATCTTAGATGTGATTATAAAATGATAAAAAATTTGTTTACTTGTGTGTGTGCACACCCCTTTACACTTTTTTCCTTTTTTTTTTTTTTTTCTTTTGAGATGGAGCCTTGCCCTGTCGCCCAGGCTGGAGTGCTATGGTGCAATCACGGCTCACTGCAACCTCCACCTCCAGGGTTCAAGCTATTCTCCTCCCTCAGCCCCACAAACAGCTGGGATTACAGGCACCACCACCACACCTGGCTAATTTTTGTTTTTTGAGTAGCGACTAAGGATTTAGTAGAGACTTTAGGATTTCACCATGTTGGCCAGGCTGGTCTCAAACTCCTGACCTCTGGTGATCCACCTGCTGTGGCCTCCCAAAGTGCTGGGATTTCAGCTGTGAGCTACTGTGCCCAGGCCCATTTCATTTATTTAATTTTTCTTATTTTAAAATAAATGCATTGAGATTTATTAATTCACATGCCAAATAATTCATTGAAGTGTGCAATTCGTTGGTTTTTGGTATAATTCCAGAGTTGTGCAACAATGACTACAGTCAGTTCTAGAACATTATCATCATCCCAATTTTAAAAATCCCATAACCATTAGCAGTCACCGCCCCCCATCTCCTCCAGATCTCCCCAGTCCCACGCCGCCACTAATCAACCTTCTACCACTATAGATTTGCCAATTCTAGATCTTTCATATGAAAAGAATCATATAGCCGGGCAAGGTGGCTCAAGCCTGTAATCCCAGCACTTTGGGAGGCCAAGGCGGGCGGATCACGAGGTCGAGAGATCGAGACCATCCCGGTCAACATGGTGAAACCCCGTCTCTACTAAAAATACAAAACATTAGCTGGGCATGGTGGCGCATGCCTGTAATCCCAGCTACTCAGGAGGCTGAGGCAGGAGAATTGCCTGAACCCAGGAGGCGGAGGTTGCAGTGAGCCGAGATCGCGCCACTGCACTCCAGCCTGGGTAACAAGAGTGAAACTCCGTCTCAAAAAAAAAAAAAAAAAAAAAAAAAGAAAAGAAAAGAATCATATAATATGGGGTCTTCTGCAACTGGCTTCTTTCACTTAGCAAAATGTGTTCAAGATTCCCACTGTTGTATGGACGTACCACATGTTATTTATTCATCAGTTGATGGGCTTCTGGGGTTTCCACTTTTCAGTCCTAATGAATAATGCTGCTGTGAACACTCATGTACAATTTCTTGTGTGGACACAGATTTTCAGTTCTCTTGAGCATCTGCTAGCAGTGACATTGTGGGTGATAGAGCAATTCTATGTTTAACCCTTTAAGGAACTGCGAGATTTTTATGCCATAGTATGGAATGTAAAATGGCCATACCATTTTACATTGTTGCCAGCGATGTATGAGGGTTCTAATGTCTGCAGTCCTAGGCAGCACCTACCATTGCTTCCCTCTTTGATGATCCTGGGGGTATGAAGTGATGTCTCATGCAGTGTTGATTTACATTTTTCCCTGATGGCCAACCATGTTAAGGTCTTGTGCTTGTTGGTCCTCTGCATGTCTTTTTGGGGGAAAATGTCTCTTTAATTTCTTTTTATTGATTGAGACAGAGTCTTGATGTGTCACCCAGGCTGGAGTGCAGTGACGTGATCACAACTCACTGCAGCCTCGATCTCCTGGGCTCTTCCCACCTCAGCTTCCCAAGTAGCTAGGACTTTAGGTGTGCGCCACCACACCTAGCTAACTTCTAATTTTTTATAGCGCTAGGGTCTCACTGTGTTGCCCAGACCAGTCTCAGCCTCCCAAAATGTTGGGATTATAGGCATGAGCCCAGCACCTGGCCTCGATTTGTGTTTAGACCCTCACGCATAGACTCCTACATCCAAGTGACTGACCATACACTTATTCTAGCAATGCTGCCTTGCCTGGATCTGTCTTTGAAACTCGACTACAGAACTTAAAAGACATTCTTTGAAATGTTCTCAGTGGCAGCATTAGCGAAGTGCATTTGATGGCGGGTTTTGTGAGAGGGATGAATTGAGGAACGGAGGAACAGCTGAAGGTCATTTGGGAACATTTTATTTAGGAAGGTGATGAACGTGACAGTGCAGAAGGGGCAACTGATTGTGTCTTCTCTTCCTCTGCTGCAAACACACAGCAGTGACCAATGAAATATGAGCACAAACACTGGGATACGCGGGGTGGGGGGGAAAGGCAGGCCTCCATGGGGTGGTTTGGACGCGCTGTTTCCCCAGGGAGCAGGAGCTGGAGAGGCTGTTCCAAAGGCAGGTGAAGCCAACTGCAAAATCTCTAGCCAGAGACAAATGAGCATAAAGGGAAAGAGAGAAAGGGGGGAAAAAAAAACAAAAAAAACCCTTACATTTAAACTGTGCTATCTTTCTTTAGCCTTATTAGTGCCCTTTAGCTGAAATTTCACTTTCAGCGATATTAACATTACGACCACCCATCTTCCTTGGGCTTGTTTGTACAATGTCTTAGTCCACTGGGGCTGCTATAATAAAATACCATAGACTGGGCAGCTTCTAAACTACGGAAACTCATTACTGACAGTCCTGAAGTCTGGGAAGTCCAAGGTCAAGGTGTTGGCAGATTCAGTGTCTGGGGAAGGCCCGCTTTCTGTCTCATAGACTGCTGTCTTTTCACTGTCTTCACACAGTGAAAGTGCATCTTTATCCGTTATGGTAAAAAAAGGGTGAGAGAGCTCACTGGGGCCTCTTTTGCAAGGGCACTAACCCCATTCACGAAGGTTCTACCTTCATGACCCAATCATGCCCCAAAGGTCCTACACACTAATACCATCACATTGGGGATTAGGATTTCAAATATGAATCTGGGAGAGACACAGACATTTAGTCTACAGCACAGAGTATAACTTTCTTTCCATCCCATTATTTTCAACTTGTGGTTAGATTTTAAGTGTGTCTTTTATGAACAACATAGCATTAATTTTTTTTTTTTTTTTTTTTTTGAGACTGGAGTCTTGCTTTGTTGCCAGACTGGAGTGCAGTGGTGCAATCTCGGCTTGCTGTAACCTCCGCCTCCCACGTTCAAGCGGTTCTCCTGCCTCAGCCTCCCAAGTAGCTGGGACTACAGGGGCATGCCACCATGTCTAGCTAAATTTTTTTTTTAGTAGAGACGAGGTTTCACCACGTTGGCCAGGATGGTCTCGATCTATTGACCTTGTGATCCACCCGCTTCAGCCTCCCAAAGTGCTGGAATTACAGGCGTGTGCCATCACACCCGTGTGCCATCACACCCGGCCTAATTTTTCTTTTTTTCTTTTCTTTTTTTTTTTGAGACAGTCTCACTCTGTTGCCTGGGCTGGAACACAGTGGCTCGATCCCCACTCACTGCAGCCTCCGCCTCCTGGGTTCAAGTAATTCTCGTGCCTCAGCCTCCCAAGTAGCTGGGATTACAGGCTTGCATCACCATGCCCAGTTAGTTGTTGTACTTTTGGTACAGATGGGTTTCGCAGTAATAGTCAGGCTGGTCTCAAACTCCTGATCTCAGATGACCCACCCACCTCAGCCTCCCAAAGTGCTGGGATTACAGGCGTGAACCCCATTGCTCCCAGCCTCATTCAAGTTTTTAAAAGTATAATTTTATCGTCTCTGTCTTTCAGGAGGTATAATCTCCTTAGTTACTGTGATTGCTGATCTATTTAAGTTTATTTCTAATATTTATATTTTAACTTTGCTTTGCTTTTCCCCTTTTGTGTTTGCATTTGAATGGGCAGGTTTTCTTTCTTTCTTTCTTTCTTTCTTTTTTTTTTGAGCTGGAATGTTGCTCTGTTCCCCCAAGGCTGGGGTGCAAGGACGCCATCTCGGCTCACTGCAACCTCTGCCTCCCTGGTTCAAGTGATTTTCCTGCCTTCTCCTGCCTCAGCCTCCTCAGTAGCTGGTACTACAGGTGCGCCCACCATCACATCCAGCTAATTGTTTTTTAAATTTTTAGTAGAGACGGTGTTTCACTGTGTTAGCCAGTATGGTCTCGATCTCCTGACCTCGTGATCTGCCTGCCTTAGCCTCCCAAAGTGCTGGGATTACAGCCATGAGCCACCGTGCCCAGGCCAGGTTTTCATATTACTCTTTTTCTAGGTAGCTCCCCTTTTTTTTTTTTTTCTGCTTGCTACGAAGCTCAATAAACTATATCTTTACTCTTTTCCTTTAACGGGACTCCTTCAGTTTTTAAAATACTTTACACATTTTCCAAACAAAGTCTAAAATTGTGTCATAATTTTCCTGTCTTCCCAAACACAACAAGGACCTTCGTGCACTGTTTTTTGACATTTTGGTTCCTATTAAGTTCAGTCAAGGCTGTTTCACCGTAAGACACAGAAAATCTCCTTCAACTGCCTAAGTTAAGGCAGAAGGGAGGGTGCTGTGAGGCTGGCAGTTAATCTCAGGCACAGCCAGGGGCAGGAGCAGGGGCTGCCAGGCCTCCCCAAGTCTGGGAAAAGCTAGAGTCAAAGCCGCTCTCGCTGGCTTTTACGGGCCCACAGGCCTACTGTTTAGCTACTTTTTCTGGTTCTCTCTCCTGCCTCATGGATCGTATGAGTTAAATCTGACCTCATCCCTGAGCTTTGCAGCCTCCCAGCCCAGCCCCCACCACTGTCACCCCGGGTCCAGCAATTCTGTCAGCCCAGATCACCAACCAATGGATGAGCTGCCTCTGAGTCTGGTGTCCACCCCGAGCCAGTAACCTGCGGCTGGGGCAGGGCTGACAGAAGGGCACTTGGCACATGGCAAAAACACGGCTGCCCTTCCAGGCCTAAGGTGGGGCCAGTTTTCAGAGAAGCATCTCCAGAATATGTCTAGTACAGACCACTCCCTCCTCAAACGTTTTAGAATTTGAAGGTAGGAGAACAAGGCTAAGAGAAAAAAAAGAATGTAGCTTAGGAGGCATCTCAAGTGCAGTTCACACCTTCCTGCCCAACTCGCCCTGGGGTCTGCGATGCTGTTCGTAGCCTGGAGGGTCCAGCGTAAGCGCCTGTCCTAGGTGCTTCATGTAAATGGCATTCTAATTCAGTATGCGGCATTTTGTGGCTGACTTCTTTCACTTAACGTTTTCGAGGCTCCCTGGAGCTGTAGGGTGTCAGCGCTTCGTCCCTTTTTATGGCTGAGCAACATTCCATGGACCGGATGGACCATAATTGGTTTATCTGGTCACCAATCAATAGACATTGGGGTGTTTCTCCCTTCTGGCGATTGTGAATATTAGCTGAGGAATTTTTGCAGTGCTCTTGACACTCCCTTTCTAGACAGACATTCTGCCCTGGGGAACATCAGTAAAAGGAAGGAGGCTGAGCCAAGGGCTGGAAGAGCTGAGGATTCCCTGAACATGGGGAAGAAATCGAAGAACAGGTACAGTTTCAGCTCTCCTCATGATCCACTTTAAAGTGACCTGGTCGGGCGCAGTGGCTCACGCCTGTAATCCCAGCACTTTCCGAGGCCAAGGCGGATGGATCACCTGAGGTCAGGAGTTTGAGACCAGCCTGGCCAACATGGCAAAACCCCATCTCTACTAAAAATACAAAAATAGCTGGGTGTGATGGCGCATGCCTGCAATCCCAGCTACTCGGGAGGCTGAGGCAGGAGAATCGCTTGAACCCAGGAGGTGGAGGTTGCAGTGAGCCAAGATCGTGCCATTGCACTCCAGCCTGGCAACAAAGCAAGACTCCATCTCAAAAAAAATCTTCTTACCCAGATGCTCTTATCTATAAAGTCCTGCCCCAAAGTTAAATATCAGGCAATTATTTTTGAGAAATGTTGCACCCTCCCAGGACCCACTAGCTGCTTTGCACACAACCATGGGGCGGGTATATCTGTGGAAAAAGGAGAAGGCCCGGGAACACGATAATTTGGAAATAGAGATGTAAAGATAAAAGACTGAGAAACAAGTTCTTATTATCTGTGCATATGATGAAAACTGATGAAGGAGCTTAAGCAACTGGGAGGGATTTTGAACATGTCAAGGAGATCAGAACTGCGCTAGGAGTTGGGGCCTCCTCCCTCTCCCAGATGGGTCTCAAATGCTGGGCAGATTAAGCTGAAACACATTCCCAAGATAAACTTCCCTTTAACACCTTCAGGAAAACAGAATATCTATCTTCAGCTTCTCAAAATATGAATTGTTCCACCCTCAAATCCTCAAATCCACATCATTTCACTTTTAAACCAAACATAATTATCTCATACATTATGCTTCCCCCAGAAGAACAAGAATTTAAATGTGTTAGGACATACCTAACTTTTTTTTTTTTTTTTTTTTTGAGATGCTCTATTGCCTAGTGAGATGGTGGCATGATCTCAGCTTACTGCAACCTCAGCCTCCTGGTTCAAGCAATCCTCCCATCTCAGCCTCCTGTGTAGCTAGGATTAGAGGCTGCCGCCACCAAATATACAAATAAACAAAACCCTGCTAATCGTTTTGTATATTTAGTAGAGACAGGGGTTTTACCATGTTGGCCAGACTGATCTTGAACTCCTGACCTCAAGTGATCTGCCAGTCTCAGCCTCCCAAAGTGCTGGGATTACAGGGGTGAGCCACCATTCCCAGCCTCTATACCCAACTCTTTTTTTTTTTTTTTTTTTTTTTTTTTTTTGAGACGGAGGTCGCCAGGCTGGAGTGCAGTGGTGAGATCTCAGCTCACTGCAACCTCTGCCTCCCAGGTTCAAGTGATTCTCCTGCCTCAGCCTCCGGAGTAGCTGGGATTACAGGCTTGCACCACCACATCCAGCTAATATTTGTATTTTTAGTAGAGACGGGGTTTCACCATGTTGGCCAAGATGGTCTCCATCCCTTGACCATGATCTGCCCACTTCAGCCTCCCAAAGTGCTGGGATTACAGGCGTGAGCCACCGCACCAGCCTGGATACCCAACTCTTAATAGCTGTGTACCTGCCATCTCTCCAGAACAAAATGGAAAATAGTAAAACACTCTATTTGTATTAGAACTGTTGTTGTAGAATTAAGTTAAACAGCAAGTGTAAATACTTAGCTGCTGGGCATCTGAGATGCACTAAAAAAAGGTCACTTAAGAGTGTATTGTTAGGCCGGGTGCTGTGGCTCACGCCTGTAATCCTAGCACTTTGGGAGGCCAGAGTGGGTGGATCACCTGAGGTCAGGAGTTCAAGACCAGCCTGGCCATCATGGTGAAACCCCATCTTTAAAAAAAAAGAAAAGAAAAGAAGAGTGTGTTGTTAAGACATCAGTATTACTTATACTTTCAAATTTGTTTTGATTTTAATAATTATAATTCCAAGCAGGGTCCGTCTGAAGAGAATTAGTGAGTTTGACCAGGCAGGCGGTGATTACTACTGTTACCAGCATTTTTATGCTTAACTGATATTGTATATTTTTTTTGTCTGTTGTATAAAATGATGTGACCTCACTTTCCAATAGGTTTCTGTGAATTAGAAAAGAGTTATTATTATTAAAGAACACTGATTTACGTTATTTGCGAAGCATTATTCTAGGAGGGAAGGGCCCTTCATGGGTGTCATTCTTCTGCAGGGTTTGTTAGAGGGAAAGTGCTGGAGGAACATGCGTTCCCCCACCCCCTCAACCCCTAATCCCTCTCAGCCCCACTGCCCAACCCACTCCCCAAGCAGAGAAGCCAGCAGCTGGGTGTGGTTGCTCATGACTGTAATCCCAGCACTTTGGGAGGCCGAGGCGGGCGGATCACGAGGTCAAGAGATCAGGATCATCCTGGGCAACATGGTGAAACCCCGTCTCTACTAAAAATACAAAAAATTAGCCGGGCGTGGTGGTGCGTGCCTGTAGTCCCAGCTACTTGGGAGGTTGAGGCAGGAGAATTGCTTGAACCCTGGAGGTGGAGTTTGCAGTGAGACAAGATTGCACCATTGCACTCCAGCCTGGGGACAGAGCGAGACTCCATCTCAAAAAATAAAAAAGGACTATAGTAAGGATTTAATCCTTATGACAATGCTTTGAAGAAGGTGTTATCCTCCTAATTGACAGGGTGGGGGATTAAGGCATAGAGAGTGGAGGCAACTGGCCCAGGGTCACCAGCTTCCTTGACAAGAGTCACTGGTTCTCCAATGCCTGTGAAGCTGGCGGCTGGGCTTGTTAGCCTGATATGCGGCTCAGGAGGAGGGTGGCTGTGGCCTGGATCCATTCAGGGCCATTTGTGTTTACTGTCATTCCTGAGAGCTGTGGAGGAGCCAGCTCCTGGAGGGAGCACAGGAAACCCACAATGATTTTGCACTTGTCGTTCAAAGGTGATCTGTTTACCAGCCTTTCAGGAATCATCTTCCCTGGGACCAGTCTCCCCTTAGAGTTGTTTCCAGCAAAAACAAGAAAATAAACCAGAAGAGGCCCTTCATCCCTTTCTTTTAGCCCAGGTACCTGTGGGCTTCAGATATTTGGGCCCCTCCTTTTGGTTGTACACACTTCTCCCAATCTGACGATCCCTGCTTCCTTCTCCAAGGCTAGAGGGCTGAGATGCTGCATTTCAACACCGAAGGGCTGGTTGAGGGTCTGACCCCAGCACAGGTGCCATGCCAGTGCCATCAAGAAACACTGCTGAGTGGGCAGGTGGAGTGGTGTGTGTGCTCTAAGATCAGCAGGAGCTAAGGAAGTGCTCTGGGGTCAGCCGAGAGGGAGCCCCCACTTCTGCCTGGCGGGTCCAGGAGTTCGGTGCCATTGGCTGGAGTTGGGCATTGAAGGATGAGAAGGATTTCAGGGGGTGGGGAGGAGGCAGGCAAAATTGGGCCCTGGGAACAGCAGGGGAACAACAGCAAGACACCATCCTCGCTTCTAACTGGCTTCCTGCGTGCCCTCACTGCCACCCGTGGGTTTTCTCTCCCAGGAACAGAAACAAAAAGGAGATCAAACCCCTTTCATCTTTAAAATCCTTCAATATTCACCACTACTCCTAGGGAAAAAAAAAAAAAAAAAAAAAAAAATCTCCATCCTTACCAGGATCTCTGTCTCAGTGGGATCCTCCTCCTCAACTGTGTTGGAACAGCATGGGACTCCTCTGGGGTCTCTCATGCTCTTTCCAGCCTCAGGGCCTTTGCATTTGCTACCCATGCCCTCCGTGGGAGAGCTCATTCCTGCTGTCTCTATCTTGCTAACATCTCATCTTGCAGGCGGCATCTTCCAGATCATTGCCTCAGAGACCTCTGATCACCCATACCACGTCCTCCCAGCCTCCATGGCTTCACACCCATCATGATTTCGAACGATTTGTGAACTTGATTAACCAAGATTGCAAACAGCATGAAGTCAGGGACTGGACTGGGTATGTTTTCTTCTCTGTTGCTTTCCTGGCATGAAGTACAGCAAATACGGTACCTGATGTGTTATACATGGCCACAAATATTTGTTGAATGAATGAATGCATAAATGAATAAAAGCACTTTGGCTTCTGGCCATCCAGTGTGCTGAAAGAATACAGTTTTTCAAACTGTGCCTCACCATCCATTAGTGGGGTGTGACATCAATTTAGTAGATGATGTCTAGCATTTTTTTTTTAATGATACAGAATAGACTAAAAATAATCAGAGCAGACTGAGGTCAGGGATGTTCTGGAAATTATTGTGTAGTTATGTACTTGTAGGTCATGAAGTAAAATGTGCTTTTCCAAGAATAGCCAAGATAAATCCAAAGAAGAAAAACAAGCGGGGAAGACTCGCCCTAGCAGAGTTCAGAACTTGTCATGAAACTGCAGTAATGAAGACAATGTGGCATTGGAGGAGGGACACGTTGACACACAGAAGAGAAAGCTCAGGCTCAGACTCACACACGACAGGGCATGCCGGAGCAGTGGGGAAAGGAGGAACCGGAAAAAATAACTCCCCTTTGCAAAATGGGATTACTACCCACCTCCCACGCATTTGCTTACAAATAGACTTGCAATAGATGAAAATAATTTAAATGTTGAAAATAAACTTTAAAACTCTTAGATTTCTTTTTTAAAAAATACACATATTAAAAAAAAAAAAAGCACTGACCATAAAAGTTTGCTTAATCTGACTATGATACAATTAAGAATGCAGGTTCAGGGTCCGGAGCGGTGGCTCACGCTTGTAATTCCAGCACTTTGGGAGGCCGAGGTGGGTGGATCACCTGAGGTCAAGAGTTTGAGACCAGCCTGACCAACATAGTGAAACCCCGTCTCTACTAAAAATATAAAAATTAGCCGGGTGTGGTGGTGTGTACCTGTGGTCCCAGCTACTTGGGAGGCTGAGGCAGGAGAATCGCTTGAACCCAGGAGGTGGAGCTTGCAGTGAGCCGAGATCGTGCCACTGCATTCCAGCCTGGGTGACAGAGCGAGACTCCATCTCACTCACTATGTTGAGATGTGTGGGCGGGTGGCAGGTGCGTGGGGGCTCTGGGGGCCGAGCACAGTGCATGGCGGAGACACAGGTGCTGGGGGCCTGAGGAGCTGGCAGGACATCTTTGGACTTGTTCTGTTGAGCAAAGCAGCAGCTATGTTGCCTGATACAGCCTGGTTCAGATAACAAAGGGCATCTGGCTTCTGAGCGCAGCGTGGCCCTTGGTCCCTGGGCTTGCCTCCTGTACCGTGGCAGGGCTGGCTCACCTTTCCTGGAGAGTGGGTGGTTCCTGGCAGGAGGTGAAATTTAAACAAAGCCTCATTGCTGTTCCCAGGATTACTGGAGCCCTGTTCGGCCCCACCCTGCCTCACAGAGCAGGGAACCCCCAAACCCCGGCTGAGGCCAAGCCTTTGGGTGGCAAGACAGGTGGGCCGGGGGCATCCTTGGTGGGCTAATTTCTGCCTAGCTCTGGCCCTGTCCTGGCTTGGTGACCATTCTCCTGACCATCCTCCTCTCCTTGCTTCAAGTTCACCTGAGCAGGAGCCCAGGACCCTGTAGCCTGGTGCTCTTGGGAGGTCTATGCTGTCACCAGAATTTCAAGCATTGCGGGTGGGGGATGAAAGGAGCTTCCATCCGAAACAGAAAAGAGTTTGGTTAAATCTGAGAATCACACAAAGTAGTAAGTGCCTTAGGCATTTGGTTCCCCCCCCCCCCCAACCTGTAAGTGGTGGGCCCAGGCCTGTCCTTGAGGGTTTCTTTCCCCCACACCCCCCCTCCCCCGTGTCCTGGGTGCTTCCTCCATAAACCGTGTCTCCTGTCTCCGGGAGGCACACGGTGCCCCTCCTCCGATCATCCCTGCGGGGTCCCTCTGCCTGAAAACGGAGCCGAATCCTCTTTCAGGAACACTTTAGATGTTCATGAAAATGCAGCCTTTTGCAGCGACTTTTCTGACCCCTGACCCCTGTGTGGTTAGGGGAGCTGGCGCTGCGCGTTCCACGGCTGGAGACTGGAAAGCCCGGCTGCTGGGTGACTCCCCTGAGCGCAGAGTCCGGGCGCTGGGGACTCAGCCCCCTTCTGCCTCCTCAGAGAGCCGCTAAGGAGCTGCAATCTGAGCACCAGGAGGGAGCCTTGAGGCCGGGGATTCGCTCTGGCGTCTTAATTAATCGCCTGCAAACACGATCTGGCCGCTGAGCCTCAGTTTTGTGGTCTGTAAGAGAGGCGCTGCGACGTCTCCCTCTCAGGGCTTCTGCCAGGATGAAACGAGCTCGCGAGGAGGGGCAGTGGGCATGAGTTGGTTCCCTTCCGTCTCTTCCCTGAGGGGACCCACAACTCCCAGGGTACCCCAGGAGGGTCTTGGGGTGGGGGCCGGCCAACCCTCCTATTCGTCCTTCTCTTCCCCCCTCCTCTCCTCCTGCTCTTCCCCCCTTCTCCCCTCCTCTTCTTTCCCCTCCTCGCCTGTTTCCCTCCTCTCCCCACCCCCTCCCTCCTTTTCCCTCCCCTCCTCCTCTCCCTTTTCCTTCTCCTCTTCCCCCTCCCTTCCCTCTTTTCCCTCCTCCACCCGCCCTCGCCCTCCTGCTCTTCCTCTTCTCCCTCCTCCCTCTCCTCCTCCCTCCTCTCCCTCCTCCTCCCTCCTACTCTCCTTCTCCCCCTCCCCCCTCCGCCCTCCCCTACTTCTCCCTTCACTTATCCTCCCCCTCCTTCCCCCCTCCCCCCTCACGCTCTATCCTCTTCCCCTCCAGCTTCACCTGGCTCTGCGGACACGTGCACCGGAACATCCTCTCCAAGTTCACGGGCCAGGCGGTGGAGCTGTTTGACGAGGAGTTCCGCCACCTCTACGCGTCCTCCAAGCCCGTGATGGGCCTGAGGTCCCCGCGGCTGGTGGCGCCCGCCCCGCCCCGAGCAGTCCCGGCCAACGGCCGCCTCAGCAGCAGCAGCGGCTCCGCCAGTGACCGCACGTCCTCCAACCCCTTCAGCGGCAGCTCCGCGGGCAGCCACTCCCCGCGCCCGAAGCGTGTCGGCGTCTCCAGGGCCCGGCAGCCCTGCGGCCCCGCACCCGCCTCCACCGCCCCGGTTCAAGCCGCGCCACAGTCCCTGGGGGGCCCCGAGTCCCCAGGCCCACTTGTCCCCGCGGCCCCACGACGGCCCGCCCGCGGTCTACAGCAACCTGGGCGCCTACAGGCCCACGCGGCTGCAGCTGGAGCAGCTGGGCCTGCTGCCGAGGCTGACCCCCGCCTGGAGGCCCTTCCTGCAGGCCTCCCCTCACTTCTGAAGGTCCCTTCCCCCGCTGCCCTCCGAAGGCCCAGGCTGGGCACTCCCGGGGGCCCCAGGACCCACCCCCACAGCGACGGGTGTTGAGCGCGCTTCCCTTTGAAAAGACACTCAAAGCCGGGCGCGGTGGCTCACGCCTGTAATCCCAGCGCTTTGGGAGGCCGAGGCGGGCAGATCACGAGGTCAGGAGTTGGAGACCAGCCTGGCCAACATAGTGAGTGAAACCCCGTCTCTACTAAAAATACAAAAATTTTGACTGAACTTCTGATGAAAGAAAATGAGGCCCGGTGCGGTGGCTCAAGCCTGTAATCCCAGCACTTTGGGAGGCCGAGGCGGGTGGATCACGAGGTCAAGAGATCGAGACCATCCTGGTCAACATGGTGAAACCCCGTCTCTACTAAAAATACAAAAATCTAGCTGGGCGTGGTGGCGCCTGCCTGTAATCCCGGCTACTCAGGAGGCTGAGGCAGGAGAATTGCTTGAACCCAGGAGGCGGAGGTTGCGGTGGGCCGAGATCGCGCCATTGCACTCCAGCCTGGGTAACAAGAGCGAAACTCCGTCTCAAAAAAAAAAAAAGAAAAAAGAAAATGAAACAAACAAACAAAATACAAAAATTAGCCAAGCATGGTGGAGTGTGTCTGTAATCTCAGCTACTCGGGAGGCTGAGGCAGGAGAATCGCTTGAACCTGGGAGGTGGAGGTTGCAGTGAGCCGACATCGCACCATTGCACTCCAGCCTGGGCAATAGGGAGACTCCCTCTCAAAAAAAAAAAAAAAGAAAGAAAGAAAAGAAAAAAAGAAAAGAAGAAGAAGAAAAGAAAAAGGAAAAGGCACTCAAAATCATTGCCATGGTTCAGTGTTCCCAGACCCCAGGCCAACCACTCGCCAACCCCTACCAGTCCTTAGGTTCCCCTCTCTAGTTCGACCTGTGCAGCACATTCCAGAAGGTTCCAGGGAGGTTGTGGGGCAGCTAGAGAACAAAATCATGAAAACTGAGTCCCTGTCTTCCATGCAGGGCTTTCATAGTAATGGTCCCCAAAACTCTGTAATAAGCAGCGGCAAATGCAGCCCAAGTTTTACAATGGGTAAACTGAGGCACCAAGCAGTAGATGCTAGGTTGGTACTTCTGGTTCCCAGTGCCCAGAAATGGTTCACTCCCAAGAGATTCAGCAAAGAAAGACTGAAGAGAAGGTGTGGGAACGTTCTGGATGTTTCAGGAGAGTAGTGGAAACCTCTCCTTCTTGGAAAGGCTAATACTGGAGTATTCCTGCACCGGATGAGTTAGGGATAAGGCCCCAGAACCTGTATCTGTGAGTTGAATGGGGCTGTCTGAAGCTGTAGCCTCCAGGGATAAAGCCAGCTGAGGAGTCTGGGGGTTGGGTTGGATAAGCCAGTTTAGTAGACTCAGATTCTTGCTTCAGAGAGCCTTGGCCTGGCCTGGAGGTCCCTGAAGTCTAGGCTGGACCTGGGAGCTTGAGTTGTCAGTGGTCAGAACCCCACCACAGAGCCCATGCCAGTCTTGAGCAGCAGGGAGGACTCAGCTGTCCCCAGATCTAGGTGCCTCTGTCCATCCTGGTCATCTCCTGAAGAATAAATGCTGAGCCTCACAAGCCCCATCATTCATTCTTTCTCAATTCACAGTGCCCCTCTTTGTTCCTGGGATAGTGCTAGGTCCTGAGGGCACAGCCTAGGTGAGTGCAAAGAAATCTAGGATACTTAGAAAGCCTACAGGAGGGGCCGCTTGCAGTGGCTCACGCCTGTAACTCCAACATTTTGGGAGGCCGAGGTAGATGGATTACCTGAGGTCAGGAGTTCGAGACCAGCCTGACCGATATGGTGAAACCTCATCTCTACTAAAAATACAAAAATTAGCCGGGTGTGGTGGCGTGTACCTGTAGTCCCACCTACTAAAGAGGTTGAGACAGGAGAACTGCTTGAACCCAGGAAACGGAGGTTGCAATGAGCTGAGATTGCACCAGTGCACTCCAGTACTGAGCGACAAAGCGAGACTCCATCACCAAAAAAAAAAAAAAAAAAAAAATAAGAGTGAGAGAGAATATAGAGTAGGGGTGGCTGGCCCTGTGGTGGGTGGGACATAGAGGAAACTTCCCAGAGAAAGTGACAGTTAACTCTGCACCGCAGGTGTGACAGCGGGGTCAGTGAGATGTGACCCGTGCTGGGGAGTCAGAGGGGAGCAGGTGGCGACTCCCATTTCCAGGTCCTCTCCTGCCACCCACAACTCACCTCAGCAATGTCTTCTCCTTGCTTGGTTTTCAGCTGGGAAGCTCAGCCTGCCCTGTGGAGGGCTAAGAGCACAGCGCTCTTCCTCCTGGTGGCCTCTGACCCCGACAGCCTGTGGCATCCTCCCTGTCCCCTCTGCCCATCCATCCCTCTGTGCCGATTCTCCTCTCTCCCAGCATGGCCAGGGGCATCTTGGCTTCCAATTTCTTTTATTATTATTATTATTAATTATTGTATTTCTGTCCTTCACTTTTTTCCTCCTTAGTTCCTGAAAGTAAACAAAACAAATAAACAAACAAAAAACAACACTTTGGTCCTGGTAGCTTTCTCAATCCCAGCCCTGACCCTGCTGTTTCGCAGCTGACGCCTGAGATGAGGTTAGAATGATCTGCCCCACCTGAGCATTCCAAATTGGATTTCACCATGTGCTGAGAAAATTTAAGGAAGGCAAAGCTTGCCAGGTGATAGCAGTTCCCAGGCTCAGCTTTCCAAAGGCCTCAGCCTGTGCCTGTGTCCAGCTCAGTCCTGGCGGACAGGGGAAAACCAGCAGGTAGGAAAAAGCCCCCGCTCCTGACCACTCTCCATCAGCAGTCTCCCCTCCATGGCGGCCTTTGTTGACAAGGGTACAGTTTCTCCTCTCCTGGGCACCTGTGATGTGTGACGTGCTGCCTGCTGGGAGGTTAGGTGGGGGTTGCCCTGGTGAGTGGAGCGTGAGCTCAGGGTTGCTTCTGGTGAAACTTTGAGAGCCTGGGTGCAGGTTGCCACATAGAAGCAGCTCTCCAGTGGAAGCCCTCTTCTGCCAGCCCGGGGATCCTAAGCAATAAGCAGAATTCCCCACTCCCACCCCACCACCCCCCGTGGCTATGTAGTGAGCAAGAAATAAACTTTTGTTGTTTAAGCCGCTGCGATGTGGGGGTTGTTTCTTCCTGCACCATGATCTAGCTTTACCCAAGTGATACAGCCTCTGAGACCCCCTAACTCCAGGCTGGGCCATTGCTCTGGATTCCCACGGCCCCCCAACAACCATTTCCACCAGAGGATTAGGGGTGGTTTTACACACCTGGCAATTGTAAGTCTGAAAGCCAGAACAAGTCCTTAGCCCACTTTCAAATCCTATAAAACCTGGTAACATTCTGTTTTTAATTCAGCTCTGGGTTATAATCACACCTGTACCTCCCTCGCTGGGGCCTGCTTGCTAGTGTTGCTCCGTGTCTTTAAACATATGGAGTCTTGGCTGGTTGCAGTGGCTCAGGCCTGTAATTCTAGCACTTTGGGAGGCCGAGGCAGGTGGATCACGAGGTCAGGAGATCAAGACCATCCTGGCCAACACAGTGAAACCCCATCTCTACTAAAAATACAAAAAATTAGCCAAGCATGGTGGCACGCACCTGTAGTCCAAGCTACTCCAGAAGCCGAGGCAGGAGAATCCCTTGAACCTGGGAGGCGGAGGTCGCAGCAAGCTGAGATCGCATCACTGCACTCTAGCCTGGGCGACAGAGCAAGACTCCATCTAAAATATATATATATATATATATATATATATATATATATATATATATATGGAGTCTCTACTACAGTGTGAATTTCAACAGCCACAGCTTAGTATCTCCCATGTGCCAGGCACACGGTGTCACCTCCAGGACTTACATCTGTCAGCCACAAATAACTCCCAGGACGAGATGGGGCCGGGAGGGACCTGCATGTGAACAACCACCATGAAGAACGTGAGAGAATGAAAGAAATACTATGATCATCACGTCCTGGGTCAAGCGCATCTGCAAACCAGGGACTTGGGATCACAGGACCTATCTACAGGACTGTCAGCCAACAAGGGTGGAGGTGTGGGTTGCTAATGATCGTGATCGACCCTGCTCCTCAGAGCCCCTCTCTCCTAGGAATGACCTGCAACTGCCCTTGATCCTCATCAGATCCTGCTTTCCTGTCTCTCCATCGCCGTCATAAGAGCCTAGAGGCTACAGGTATCTCTGTGGACCCACAGGATGCTACAGCGATGCCACAGACAGTCCCAGCGCACAGGCAATGCTCCCTGATTGAACACTGGTGAAGAGCTTTGCTCCCACAGGGGAGGCAAATACTCAGATACCCCGAGACCGCCTTCACTCTCTGTCCCTTCAGAATGCAGGGGAGGAAGGGCTGCCCCGCCTTCACTTAGTCCCCCTGCTGGCCTGTCATGGAAATGCCAAAGCAGCTTCTTCAAATGTTTCAGGTTTGTTGTTGTTTTGCCCAGGCTGGAGTGCAGCAGCAGGACCTTGGTTCACTGCAACCACTGCCTCCTGGGTTCAAGTGATTCTCCTGCTTCAGCTTCCCGAGTCGCTGAGATTACAGGTGCTCACTGCCACATGTACTGATTTTTGTGTTTTCTGTAGAGACAGGGTTTTGCCATGTTGGCCAGGCTGGTCTCGATCTTCTGACCTCAGGTGATCCACCAGTCTCAGTCTCCCAAAGTGTTGGGGTTATAGGCGTGAGTCAGAAGTGAAACTTAGGAGGGGGCAGGAGGGAGGGAGGCCTGTATAGTACAGCGTGGTAACAAGGGCTGAGGCTTTCGAAGAAGCTTCAGGAAGGAGGTAACATCTGAGTTGGACTTTAGGAGAGGTGAGGGTTTGCAGCAGGCTTGGTGGAGAATGAGAGGTGCCACGTCAGGGTCCTCAGCGGAGGGATAGGGAGGGCAACGGCAGAGAGGACGTGGAGGCTGGTGGGCCAGGTGAGTGGCAGGAAAGGAGGTGGCAGGGAATGGGGCTGGCAGGTGAGCTGGGAAAGAGTGACATTATGAGATGACATTATGAGACCCCATCTATGCCCTCGTGGACAGCTTGGCT